TGCTGGAGTTTCTTTCGCTCCAGGATAGTCAAGTTCCTTTTTTGTTTAAAGAATTCTGTTTCATGTAGTTTATTTTCCTTTATTTATTCATTTCTTTGAAACAGAGTCTTCTTCATCACCCTGGTGAGAGTGCTGTGACATCATAGCTCACAGCAACCGCAAACTCTTGGGCTTAAGCAATCCTCTTGCTGCAGCCTCCCAAGTAGCTGAGACTACAGGCGTGCACCACAACTCCTGGCTAGTTTTTTCTATTTTTAGTAGCAGTGAGGTCTCACTCTTGCTCAAGCTGGTATTGAATTCCTGAGCTCAAGCAATCCACTCACCTCTGCCTCCTAGAGTGCTAGGATTATAGACTTGAGCCACCAGGCCCGGCCTGTTTTATGTAGTTTAAAAGTAGATCATTGTCTATCCTGTGTTGCCATTACTACTAGTTAATTATGGAAACAGGTCACAAACTGTAATTATTGGTGAATAAAAAAAATAATTTTCTATTTCAAGTATGGAAGCAAAAACTTGTTCAAACAAAGCAAAGCTGTGAGTCAAATAGCTAATCAATAAAAATGGTGGGGAAAAAAATGTTTGCCTGGGAATGAAGACTCCCCCATCCAAGTCCTTATGTGGCTGTCTGAAAACCAGCGATTAAGCACTGGAGCCAGAGGGCCTGGGTTGGAATCCCAGTCCCGCCACTGTCTGTGTGTTTTTGTGCAAACACTTAGCCTCTCTGTGCCTCAGTTTCCCCATCTGTAAAGCGAAGATTTTAAATATAAATATGTGTATAATATATATTTATCCCTCCAATATGTATAAAAATATACGTAGATCTAAACTGTGTTTCTATAGCTCTCACACATCTATAAACAAAATTATATTTATAAGTGAAATTCAAGCCCCAAAACCAGTAAAATTCAAATTAATATTAAAAAAAGAATGAAGACTCCTTTGCAGAGATAGTGTTCATCAGATATTTCCCATGCTTCCCTACGTTTCTTAGCCTCCCCAGAAATCCAGCTGGAGATAGCCCTTCAGTAAACAAGCTTACAATTCTCTCTCTATGCTACGCACACATAGAAAGGTAACTTCATAATTTTTCATAATTGCAAGAACATCAGATATTCATGCAACAACATTCATGTAATAATAATTCTTTCTTTATGCAACAATATCCCTGTATCTCAACACTTAATCATTGTAAATACACACACATACTATGTGTATCTATTATATATGTACATATGCGCCATAATTTTTGTAACATCTCTATTGATGAATGTTTATCTTGTTTACTATTTTTTATCGCATAAAAATACTTTGATTTTAAGCAGTTTGCATTTATCTATATAGGACAAATTCCTAGAAGTGTAAATGTCTGGCAAAAGAGTATCAGCACATCAGACTTTCCTCCAAAATGGTTGCACCAATTTATACTACTAGCAAGAGACGGGGTCTCACTCTTGCTCAGGTTGGTCTCAAACTCCTGAGCTCAAGGGATCCGCCAGAGTGCTAGGATTAGAGGAGTGAGCCACTGCACCAGCCCTCCAAACATTATATGTAAAATAAAAACAAGCAAGCTCTGAAAGGCGGAGAGAAGTAGGCAGACTGGCCAGTGACTGTGGACTGGAAGACTAACCCAACAGTTAGTTCCCTGGGTTTTCTGTCTGCCTCATACAGCCCAGACTGAGAGCCAAAAAGCAGGCAACTCAGAAATGCTAATGGTCACAGACCAAATGAGCCCCAACAAGCCCCTGCTTTCTCTAGCTAAAAGAGCAGAAAGGGGCAGCCTAGCTAGACAGAAACCTTTAGAATTATTTTCAAGCCATTCTGCAGTCAAAACTATACCAGAAAAAAAACCATTCAACTGCAGTCAAAACTATACCAGAAAAAAAAAAAACTAGGCCCTACTCTACATGTGCCAGCAAAAGCCAAGTGGACAGTCTAAACTCTCACTGGCACAGGCTGTGAAAAGCTCTCAACTCCTCTGTCAAGGTTGCATCAGAGGAAAAAATAGGAAACCAGGAGTTTCATTTTCACCAGGAGGTAACAAAGCCCACACACACTGTGCCAGTGGAAACCACGCTGAGAAGCTGGACTTCACCCCCACCTGGCAGTCATGAGGTGTACCCCCTCCCTGCTGGGGTGGAGTTGGAGTAGGTCTAACGGAGAGTAGGACCTTTAACCACTTTCTAGTAATAACTGGCTCACACCCACTTAGTGGTGCCAGTGGAGACCAAGGAGGGGGCACCTGGACCTTTGCCCTCATACAGAGTTGATGAGGCAGCACGCCTTCTACTGGAGTGGTGCCAAAGGGAGCCAGCTAAACCGGAAGGCTTAAATAAGATCCAGAATCTTGTAACATACAATAATACCCAGAATGTCCAACATCAAGTGACTATCACTCATCACTCCAGGAACAAGCAAGATGTCAAGATTCAAAATAGTCACAGGGTAAAATTACAAATCCAATAAGATAAATGCTATTACACACTGTGTAAGCTTTTTTGGCCTAAAATATTTCAATGGACTTGCTGTGTTGTCCCAGGTGACACCATTATCTTTCCACTGTCTAGTTTCATCTTCAGTCTTTCCAAAGCCTTGGGAAAAAAATAGCCACTGAAGGTTGTTTTCCCTAAAACGCTGCAATAACAATAATGAGAGTATCAAAATGTTGTTTGAGTAGGAATACGGTCACATGGGGTCCATGCCTTCAGAACGTGTTACCATTACCAAAAATAGGCAATAAAGTGTGACTCACATCCATGGTTTTCTTGAATTGTAAGCTCTTTTGTTTATGGATGGCATCCATTATAAGCTCTGTCTGTGAAGAGAGAACAAAAGCACTATTAATGAAAACGTAAATTATTAGCTGCCCTTGAGGGCCAGGTGTTCAATACAGATTATCTCGTTCTGGCCTGACACGACCCAGAAGGTAGATGTACTATTTATTACCCCCATTTTGCAAATGAGGAAATTGCAGAACAAAGAAGCCATACAGTTTGCCCAAGTTCTGCTGGCTAGTTAATGGAGCCTGACTTTGTTGTTTGTTTTTTTTTTTTAATTCATTTTTTATTTCAAATGAATATGGGGGTACAAATTTTTAGGTCACACTGTTCTCACTTCTAGGATAAAGTTCCAGTTCCAGTTGTAAAAGAACCCCTCACCCAGGGGGGCATGTTATACACCATCACAACGTGCACATTAGGTGAGATCCCACCTCATGCCCTCCCTCCTTCTGCCAATTATCCTCCCCCTCCACCCTTTTTCAGGGGTCCTCCTTTCAGGGGCAGGGTCTCTTCTAAGACTCTAAGACTTTATGCTCAGACCAAATCCAAGGGACATCTGATTGCATGTTATTACTGATAAGACAACGGAGTGCAAAAACACAACCATCCCTGTTATGAGGTGGGGAGAAGCAACAAAGGGAGAAAGGAAGAAGAGATTGTAAATGACCCAAATAACCCTGAGATAAATTATTAGTATAGTCACTTTCTGGCCCATTTTTCTTTCTACCCACACTCCATTCTGAAAACTGTAAGCATCACCCTCTGTAACCACGGAAGTTCCTTTCTTTGGAGATGGCTCTTAAGAGAGGCAACACAACATTCTTCCCCGACCATCTCAATCTTAGCTGAGATGGTAAAACAGACTGGACTCCAGGAGATGGGTGCCTGATCATGTGTTGGCCTTGTCATGCTGAGGACATTTCCGGACTGGGGAGGAGGTCTCTGCACCCTCAAACATCAAGGCCCCTGAGAACAGTTCCTGAGATTCCCCCCTCCCCTGCCAATACCCAGGGGTGAGTGCCTCAGCCCACATCTGCTCATTGTTATGGCCTTTCACTCTACTGGTTTTAGCATCAGTGTATTTCCTCTGAGGCCTTCCTGGCCCTGTAAACGAGGTTATGTGTCCTCACCTCAGGGGTGCCCAGGTAGGCCTCATTCATTTCCCTCATCATGGAAGGCTTATCACATTTTAATACGACTCCTGCATCACATCCATCTGTCTGGCCAAGCTCTGCACTCAGTAAGAGCAGGGTGATTAAGTTCATCTCGGTCAACACCCTCAGACCACTTAGATAGAGCAGTTAACATGCCATCGACCTCTGACCAGCCGGTCCACTTGCACCTCCCCTGCCCCAGTTTACTAAAAGAAACCAGCTGATAGCTCGCCTTGATCAGTGGAAATGGCTTAATTTCCAAGAAGCAAAATACCAAAATATGCAGAATTTGACCAGTAAAAAATGAGAAGTTAACATTGACACATCTTCTCCCAAAGTTTTATGTGTTTTAAAAGAAGAATATCTAAATACAGAAGTAGCACAACACAGAGTTCACTGTGACACAAGCAATTAATAAACTTATTAATAAACTTTGCACTTCCCCAAGAAAGCCTTGGAAGTATTTTCCTGCTACAGATAGTGCACAGAATAAAGGGAACTTGGAAGATACTCTATTGCTTAACAAAGTTCAGAGCATGTTCTGCTAGCTACAAGAATTTGGTCTGTGTAACTTGTTAGGAGGGGAAGTTTCGGAAGCCTTGCAAAATTAACAAAACTCTCCCAGAAAGGACAGGGGCACTCAAAAATGTGAGGATATGATTCTCCTTTCCTCTTAGGGGAAATCACGTGTGCATAGACTCTGGCTGTCTAGGGCAGGCCTAGAAGGTCAACCAGAGGGTCTGACCAGCTAGTGGGTATAACACCCGTGCTGCCTCTGCTCTGAAAAAGTCTCTGGGCCAGAGGCACCTCTCAGACTGATCCCTGCAGGTGTGAATGTGAAAGTACTTGCTGTAATGCACCCTCAGCGTTCCAATCTGCAAGTACAGATGGTGAGAGGAGAATTGGCAGTACAGTGCTATGAGTAGGCAGGTTGTTAAGGTGTCGCTACCCACCCCAGACACTGGTGGCCACAAAGGCAGCTGAAGCTAAGCTCCAACTTACAACCTCGGGCAAAGTGGCTGAGATGGAGGTGTGGGTAGGATCAGCCTGAACAGCAGGCTGTGCCCAGGATACACACCCTGCAGACAACAACCTCAGGCCCACAGTGATGAAAGGTTTCCAAAGAGACTTTCAGGAGGGGTAAAAGAGGTCACCACAAGTCCATGCAGAGCTATCCTGGGGGACCTGGGTGGAAATCTTGGGGTGCCAGAAAGGAAAGCTCTCATTCCCCATGTGAGGTTGGGTTCCAGTCTTGGATACCAGATGTAGAAAGAAATTCTGGAAGGGTCCTACTTGGCTACCAGGTTAACCTAAGCATACAAGTCTTTCAGGGATGAAAGAGAAGGGAGTCAGAGCAGTGTCTGGTATAGTCTAAGTAACACTCTGCTATGAACCTGGACTTCTTGTATTGATTCTTATAACTTCTCAAACATTTGCCAGCTCTATGGACTCTCATTCACCTTCATGGCCTTCCACATAGGACATACTTTTACTGGTCAAAGTAAAGCCCATCAATGAGAAAAGAGCCCCTATACAGTTGCTTTGAAGACAGGAAGGACTTAGCCACCAGGGCTATAACTTCCCATTGGTAAAATAGGATAGCTGGGCTACACTATGGTCTTCAGGGGGAGTGAGAGTCTCCGCACTTCTTCCCCTCCCCTTATTGCCTTATCCAGGAGAGGCAGCCTCCAGCTGGCCTGCGTTGGGTGCTAGTGAAGACAGATGGTTCCCCTTCCCAGTCTCATTCTAATGATGGCAGCAGACCTGAAGAGAAATGCAAGCTAGACCCCTGAATCCTCCAAGAACTTAACCAATGGACAACTGACCTGAGGTACAGAAATACATACACCCATCAGGAATGATCCCCACAGAAGAAGGAAGTCCTATGATTTCTTAAACTAAAAGAAGAATAGGCTTGCAGGAGGGTGAGCCAAGCTGTGGAGTGCAATGAGCAAACACGCCTGGGGTTTTCTGCAGCAGAAAAAGCAACAGCTTCATACATAGTTAAGTCCAACCTTCTTCCGTTGTAGCTTTTGCTTTTCCCTGAATTCTTCCATCTTCCTGGCCTCCTCCCTTAGAGTCTGTGCAAGCTGAATGTGACTCTGTGCCACACTGTCTAATTCTGCAAAAAGAATTTTTAAATGACAATAATGAAGGTCTACATATGTCTGAATTCAAATAAAATCATACAAAATAAAAACGTATGTACATATACAAAATATGAGAGCAAGTGGTAAAATGAACATTACTTCACTTGTTCACCAACATTTATTGAGACCAAGGCTAGCAAATCTTCAGCTTTGCTTCCTACCACTAACTCTTACTAACCCAGTGCATACCCAGGGCTGGGGAGGAAAGCAGCCAAGGTCCCAGCCTATGAAGCTTATGTTTTAGGAGACATTACTAAAGCCACTGCAATTTCAAATGTGATTCTTCATTCTCTTTGGATGACCTCTAAGATTCTTTCCATCTCTAACATCTCATGAGCATGAACATTTTAAAGGTCGTACACCAAAATGTGGGCTACCAATAGTTATCTCTGGGTAGAAAGATTATTGGTGGTTTTTCCACCTTATACTTTCTTAAGATTTTCACAAGGAGTATGTCTTGCATTTACAATAGAAACCAGTTAACTTTTTATTTCACTTGTTCTAGGGAAGTTAAGTCAAAGCATGGCATTAGATCTAGAAAGGCTGAGAGATGGACAGATGTATCTAGGGAAAAAATTTCTGCTTGTGAGTGTCAAAATAACCTCGAAGAAGACGATAAGTTACATGACAAACCACAAAAACATTGGAAATTTATACAACAAAGATAAAATAGCTACATAAAAAGAGCTTTCACAAATCAAAAGAAAAAGTATATTTTAGTATCAAAAATATTAGTTACGGGCGGTGCCTATGGCTCAAAAGGGTAGGGTGCCAGCCCCATACACTGGAGGTGGCGGGTTCGAACCCGGTCCCAGCCAAAAAAAAATATATATATATATTAGTTAAAGCACGTGAAATTCAAAAAACAGTTTACTGGCTAAATGGGCAATAAACACTTATGAATATATCAAGGCTTAAAGCCATTGAAAAAAATGCAAACCTTTAAAATTCAAAGCTTTCAGCATGGCAAAATTTTAAAACAGTGAAAATTCTTCATACTGACGAACATAAAGAAAAACAACTCTTTTGGGGAAAAATAATCAGTGCAACCTTTCTAGAGGAACTTTGGCATTTAGTTAGGTCAGAAATTTTAAATAGCATAAAAGAATAAGGCAGATCTATATGAACTGAAATGGAAAGCTACCTATGATACATGGTTAAGAAGCAAATTATGGAGAAATATATATAGTGTGATCTTATAAAAATTGGGGTGTGTGTGTGTATGTGTGCACACGCATGCACAGTTGACAGAGAGAGATGTAAATGCATAAAGAAAGGTCTGGAAAAACATATGCCACACTACTGGCATGTTTAAAAAATATTTTTCATTTTTAAAATATATATCTGGCCCACCCCATTGCCATGATATAGTACTATTGACATATGTGAATAAATACATATATCATATACTTACTTACATATGTTTGAATGCATAAAAATGTCTAAAAGCATATTCACCAATAACTGCTGATTGCTGAGAATTATAATTTCCAATGTTTACTAATCTTCTTTATAGCTAGTTGTCACATTTAAATTGATTAAGATCAATATGTCTTATTTTAATAAGAAGGAAACAAAACCATTTTTAGAGAAAAAAATGAAATAACAACCTTAAAAGAAAGGTTTAGGAGACTCAGCTTATGGTGGGGTTCTCTTGAGCCACACTATGGGTGCCCTTATAGTACCTATAAAGAGCACAAAGAGATACCATCCCTAGATTGAGAAGTGTATTCATTGATGAGTTAAAGAGGGAAGAGGGGCCCAGCGCTGTGGCTGAAGTGGCTAAGGTGCCAGCCACGTACACCCAAGGTGGCGGGTTCGAATCCAGCCCAGGCCACCAAACAACAATGACGGCTGCAACCAAAAAATAGCCGGCATTGTGGTGGGCGCCTGTGGTCCCAGCTACTTGGGAGGTGGAGGCAGGAGACTTGCTTGAGCCCAGGAATTGGAGGTTGCTGTGAGCTGAGATGCCACGGCACTCTACCCAGGGGGACAGCTTGAGGCTCCCGTCTCAAAAAAAATAAAAATAAAAAAAAATAAAGAGGGAAGAGGACAACTTCCATGGAAAAGTTAAGATGAATGTTTCTTTAGCTAACACTTACAAAGGTCTAAGACCACTCAACTAGGTACAGTAACTCTTTAAACCCACATATATACAGGGCAAGACCCCTTGAAGACCAAGTGCAAGGGTGTCACCCTGGATTTCCTAACTCTGGGTTGTCATCACATTGGAATAATAGGAACTAAACAAAAACCCACTGGCTGAATTCCAACTTACATTTGTAACCAAAAACCATGATAAGAAAATAAGAACTGAAAAAGAATACTGAGGGCACCATGACTTGTGTCTTCCATTTCCTTCTAGACATTATAGCAAATAAATAATTCGCCACCCAAAAAAAGCAAAGATGACCTTCACAGGAGGAAAATGACTCCTTACCCTCAAAAAGATACAGGGAAGTAGAATTTCACCCCAGCAGAGATGAACTCTGATGATGTTGACATTGGTATTGCCTTTCTATTTCCTTTCTGAATCAGCCTTTACCACCCACAAGAAGTGTGATACAATTAAAATGCTCCATTCAAAATAAGAAAATAAGTCCAAAACATGAGTGAACTATCTCCCACTTGGGCTTCCTCTTACGAGGCTTAAGGGGAAAAGCAAGGAAGGGATTTCATCATTTCTGAGGTCTAGCACCCTGATGTTGGGGAGAAAAGAATAAATAAGAATTCTTAAGGAGACAACAGGATGTGGTTCAAAAAACAGATCTCAGACTTCTTTAAGTAATCATCATGGAAGATTCTGAGATCAGTTGCAAACATTTTTTAATTCAAAGTGCCTTTGAAATGCACAAGAAGAAACATTAAGTTTGAAGTAGAATGTAAGATCTAGTACTTAGAAAGTTCTAGACTGAAGCTACATTATCCATCTGTACATTCTCTGTGTGAAGGCAATAGCTAGTGCCAGGGATGAGAAGGGATTTATCTAGGCAGCCTGAGAAGAGAAGGGCTAGGATCAGTGTCTGAGGACTGCAATTTGAAGAACTGGGTACAGAAGGACAAAGAAAGGGACAGAGAAGTAGCCAGAAAAGTGGAAAGAGTCAAAGGGTGTCAGAAAAGATGAGGGTGTCTGGCTCGGCGCCTGTGGCTCAAGTGGGTAAGGCACCAGCCACATACACCTAAGGTGACGG